AACCGCTGTTTGTGCTCTAATTTCTTGTAGGGACAGCAATGGCTGTCCCTCTGCATCTTTAAGATGAACTAGGACATCCAAAAAGTCTCTTGCCTCTTTCTTTTCACCACATTTCTCAAGAGTGGATGACCTTTCGCGGATCCGCTCCTCTATAATGGGATCATGCAACCGGTTGAGTGTTTGCATGGCATCCTTGGAAACCTTTTCATGGCCATCCAGGTCGAGGCCTACGAGGGCTGGGAAGTAGTCGGACATGCAGAAGCTGTAGAGATGGTTAAGAGCCATGAAGAGAGCGGCAACGTGTGCCACCTCATCATGTCCAGGCCCACTAGTGGATGAAGCTGGTAGGTCACTGAAGTATCTTTTACCAAACACAAGCCTTCTTATCATGTTGCCAACGAAGTGTTGGGTTACATGACGGACGTTGACAATGTTGCCTGGACATGCCATGTCGCTGCAGTGAGTTTTATTAATGTACCTCACAAGGTGGTCGTACTCCTCTTTCCGGAGGTGGTGGAGCTTTCGCTCCATGGACGAGGCGAGGATCTCAACAGTGAGGACGCGCCTCATCTTCTTCCACTAGTCTCCGTGCGGTGAGAAGATGGAGCCCTTGTACCCGAAGCTGAATATGCCTGAGGCGAAGGTGGTGGGACGGGAGGCAAAAACTTCATCATTTTTTCTTAGTACCTCAGAGGCTATCTGTGGACATGCTACAACAATGACATGAGTAGCTCCGAGACGGAGGCACATGATGTCTGTGTTCATCTCCTTGAGCAGGGCGTGGATCCATCGGAACTCCGCCGGCTTGCTCAGAATCACCTGATGCATGTTACCGATGATGGGCAGCGCTGCAGGCCCCGGGGGCAGCCTGCCTCGTCGCCCCCGTTGCTGCTGGGACAATAGCACTCTTTTATTTTTCAAGAGAAAATACACCAGCATGGTGGCCATGATAACCAGAGTACCAAGAGCCATATTGCATGAGCTGGTCAGGGTGTTGTATGAAGTAGGATAGAAGGCAATTTGTGGGACTGATCCGTAATGGACAGATGTTTTAACAGTTGTGTTTGAAGACACTCTTGCTTTTGGTGCATCTTAGCTGGTTAGTTCTGCGGGTATTTATAGGACAGCCGGGGAGCCAGCATCCTTACGTACATAATAATTATTTAATCAGTTAGTGACTCCTTTCATTGCCCCACGTGGCCACATATACTATTCATGTCGCCTCATGCAAGTTCAATGCATTATGGAGGTCCACATTCTTTTGGTTGGACAAATTGATAGAGAGCAAATTAAGTGAATGCTGGCCACTCACTTGGAGACGTTCTTCACTTGATCATCTCCATGAGCTCTTCCAATTGACATATTCAGGGAAGGCCTTTGCTGAGCTAGGTCACATGGAGTCTTTCGTTCATTCAGACTTTGCCTGTGAGAAGGAACCTTAAAATTTTGATGGAAATCCTTCTCATTTAAGAGTGTTATAGGCATATAAAGATTTACGATTCTCCGACCATGATAGATCCTTCATTGACCTCACTTTGACCAGCAACGTGCAGCAACTGACGGCCTCTGATGAGGAAGAGTAGGGCATGGGAGACGACGACGCCTCGAGTCCCATGAGCCGGTGTGAGTCCCATGTCCTACTCTACATTGCCGACCACTACATCAATAGTCCGAGTGGCACTTCCAGCCGCCGAACTAGGGCACGGCGGAGCCGGACAAGCTCCGCTTATGTTTAGGTTTCATGTGCATGTAATTGTATGGATTTGAGGATTACTAGCTAACTGAGGCATCTGGTTGTGGAAACGTCAATTTCATGTCTGACCGATCCCTGTCTATGGAGTTTGAGAGATCAAATTTGTTGTATATAGTTGTAGATGCTCTAAATGTTATTTCCTTCGAGCCAAAATAAATGACAGAACTCTGAACTAAGACTATGAAGTAGAGAAATTAAGAACACGGGCTAGCAGAACCCGACAGAAGAAAAATCCTGGAAGTATCATCACTAAAATGTGTTATTCATGGGAGCCAACCGAGGCGACGGTCCTGGCTGCCGTCTCTTGGCCATGCCAAAATTTGGTACGGTGACGCCAGTTTGGTTTTGCGTTGGAATTTGGTACGGTGAAGGCTGGCCGGGTTTCTGTGGGTGTCCGTCGACCCGTACGTTCAATGTCCGCATTTCTGTGGGTGTCCGTCGACCCGTACGTTCACTGTCCGGGTCTATTCTCATCCATACACGGCCTACTAGCTGCAGGTAGCACATGATGCACGAGTGTCCGGATCAATTCTCTTCCACACACGCACTAGCTGCAGGAAACGGCTCATGTTAGTCTCAGTGCTGTGCTTCCATGAGCATGCGGGAGATGTTGACGACTTACCCACGCTCAAACCATTGGTTAACTGGTTATTACACATTCATATTGCTCGCTAATTCACATCCATGTATAGCTCGTGTGATACATGATTGAAGGGCAAAGAATTGGAATCCAATTACCCTTTCTCCTATAGTACTGTCCATCATTCTGACCCCCACCTTCTAGAGTGAACATCACATAGCTAAAGTTTGTTTTCCATTAACCCGCAAAAAGAGAAGTTTGTATTCTTTGGTAAAAATGTATTGCCACTAGTGACTACTCCCTCAGTAATAATATAAGAACGTTTTTGACACTACACTATTGTCAAAAATGTTCTTATATTATGGGACAGAGGGAGTAGTAGAGAGTCGGGTGAGAGACGCGAGACGAATGAAGGAGGAGGAAGACAACAGGCTAGGTCAGGCTTGGTTTTGGTTCAGGCCTGGTGGCGTGGCTTCTAGTCCGCATGCCACTAGTAAGTTTTGTTAGGGCATCTCCAACGCCGACCCACAAAACGGACACCATATCAGTTTGCAGACGGGGACCAGTACGCTAGCAGCATATGTCTGGTTGAATTCCAAATTTTTTTAACGAAGTTGATGAAATTTGATGCAAACTCAAACCAACCGGACGGTATTCATTTAAATTAGGGAGAAGAAAAAGGGAAAGATTGTTTCGGGCAAAGTAGATGAAATAACCGAGAAAGGCCGGCCCATCTAAATGATGATTGTAGTGAACCACGACATTTGGCGATGCAGAGGCTCCGCTCACAACTGGCCCAGCCTACCGGCCGCCTACGGTTACCCACTCGACCCGACGGTTACTACTGGTGATAGATAGCGTGTAGTTTATAAGAACACATGGAGCTCCGCCACTGTGCCCAAGTACTTAGTAGGCTTCTGTTCGGTGGTTGCAAAGGGTCGAGTGATCCTCAAAAATTGACTGACCCAAATAATTGCAAGTCGATTTTGATTTTCCTGCACTGAGAAAAAAAATGGACGTCCCCAATATTTTTTCAGGCAACTTGTCCCTATCCGGTCCGTTGTATTTTCCACCTCTTCTTTTTTGAGGGGTCATAGAAAGTTCATAAAACATGTAACCAAGACCCAAAGACTACCTTGTATGTTTTCAAGAGTGAAAGCTACGTTGTCGCCTAACTAAGTGCTCCAAGTTCAGTGCACCCCACAGCGGTTGTCGTTTCAAGTACTCTGCCTGGCTAGCTTATAAGCAACCGATCGAGCTTGTGATGATAAACTAAGCTGGTTCAGAAGAACAATTGCGCCGCAGAGCTCCAGAAAGTGCTGAGCTATACATTAACTTCCCATGGCAGATCTCGTCATGCTAGAGACGCCTCCGACGGCTTGGTTTCTGTTCCTCTTCCCGCTCTTCCTCTTGTTTGTGCTTTATTATTGGTTCACTTGGAAGACAGGAAAAAGGCAACAGTGAGAAGGCAGACTCCCGCCATCACCACGGGCGCTGCCCATCATCGGCCACCTGCACCTCCTCGGATCGCTCCCACACGTCTCGCTCCGCAGCCTTGCCAGGAAGCATGGCCCCGACGTGATGCTCCTTCGTCTCGGCGATGTGCCGGCGCTCGTCGTGTCGTCACCGTGTGCCGCAGAGGCAGTGCTGCGCACGCATGACCACGTCTTGGCGTCACGGCCGCACTCCGTGGTCACCGACATCCTCATGTATGGCTCGTCCGACGTCGCCTTTGCGCCATATGGCCAAGGCTGGCGGCAGGCAAGGAAGCTCCTCACCAACCACATGCTGAGCGTTAGGAAGGTCCAGTCTTTCCGCAGCACCGTCATGTTGGGGGTAACTTCCAATGCTTCTCCAGTTTTCGCCACACCACATTTGACAGAATTGCTTTTAATATCTCGACGTGAAACACATTATGAAGACATAAAATTGAAAAATGCATAAACTTCTTCCTTTCGAAACAAAAATAATCTTACTATTTCAGAAGATGAAGAAAACTGTGGATTGTGGAAAATAAAAACTAGATGACTAGTTGACCAGAAAAATAAATAAAAAATGGGTCTGTCTATCCGCAAGGCAACATAGTGCAGGTCCATCGGACGAAAATATATCGTCATATTTAACTAATATTTAATATAATTTGTAAAAAAAGCTGACCATAGATCATGTGGGTAAAATAATATAGGTTGTGCTTCATTAAGATATCTCGAAACCAACTCAGTCCAATTGGCTCACTGAGGTCCTAGCAATAGAGAGAGGAAAGGTCATGGCTTGAAAATCCGTCAGATATACATAGAGGAACGTGGATAACTGATGAATAAACAATCTAGAAACAATCTAGAAAAGGCAGGTAAGGGCTTAGACGGTCTCCGGTTAACTGATGAACAGACAACATCCACTAGTTAGGATATTCCACATTTCAAAAATAAAATAAAATTGGGAGCATGATATTTGGTTGTTAATATGTATGTTAAAATCAAATACGACGTCCCTTTTTATTCAATGATTTCCTACTGTCAAGCCTTGTTGGTCATTTTCTTAGCGTTTTCACAAATTTACCATGTCAGAAACAAAATAAAGAAAATTGACTTTCATTTGCCCTCTGCTAACAATCCCATAAATGTTAGCTACTCTCATAATTTAAGATTCATGCCATCATAGGTGAGCATGGTGATGGCGAAGATTAACGAGGCTGCCAGAGTCGGTGGTGTGGTGGATATGAGTGAGCTGCTCAAGACATTCACATATGACATGGCATACCGCATCGTGTCCGGTGAATTCTTCCTAAAAGAAGGACGGAGCAAGTTGTTCCAAGACCTCACCAATGATACCTCACTGCTGCTAGGAGGGTTCAAGGTGGAGGAATACTTCCCAACATTGTCTAGGGTAGGACTGCTTAAAAGGACAGTTCGTGCAAAGGCTGAGAGACTAAGGTATAGATGGGCCGATCTGCTGGACAAGGTGATCGATTATCATGAGAACAAGGACAAGTCAGTGTTAGATAACCAGGGTGGTAATTTCGTCGATATTCTCTTGTCTGTTCAGCTGGAGTATAGTCTCACAAGAGAACAGATTAAAGCTATCCTAACCGTAAGTAAATATAATACCTTCCAAATGATTACAAATAAATAAGTATTATGGCATGCTAATTAATTGATATCCACATGATGTATTTTTCGCTTCAACTGACACGTCATCTAACACCCTCGAATTCACAATGGCTGAGCTCATGAGGAGGCCCCGCCTGATTGGGAAGCTACAAGACGAGGTAAGGAGTATTGTACCCCAGGGACAGGAAATTGTCAGTGAAGCCGACATGAACAATATGACATACCTAAGAGCAGTCATAAAGGAGTCACTCCGACTTCATCCTGTTGCACCTTTACTTGCTCCACACCTTGCCATGGCTGACTGCAGTATTGATGGGTACATGATTCCTGCTGGAACACATGTCTTCGTCAATGTATGGGCCATTGGTAGAGACTCTAGCTCTTGGGAGGACAGTGAAGAATTCATACCTGAAAGATTTACAGAGGAAGGCAGTGATGTGCATGTCAACTTTGTAGGGAGTAATTTTAAACTCTTGCCGTTCGGGGCAGGACGCAGGATATGCCCTGGTATAAACTTCGGAATCACGACTGTTGAGCTTATGTTGGCAAACTTGATGTACCATTTCGACTGGGAACTGCCAATAGGGTTTAAGAGGAAAGACATTGATATGACAGAGGTGTTTGGACTAACTGTGCGCCTGAAGGAGAAATTACTGTTAGTTCCAAAATCACGCATGTAACCGGATAAAATCTTCTTAGGAAGTTTATGCTACCGGTATGTTGCTGCTACAAAATAAAGGTAAATTCTAGCCATCAAAGGAGTCAGGATTTTGATCCTAGGGGTGGGGAGGAAAATAATAACCACACAAGTATACCATGTATGTGATGTACTTTTCGTTTGAGCTTACTGTGGTTTTTTATTTATTAATGCCACAGTGTATTATTACGAGTTGGCATATCAACTGAAATGAGATCCTATATCCAGACTAGTTCCATCTGCTCATTTAGATTAACACTGAAAAGTATGGAGTCACTCTACTATTTTATTTTTATTCTTGAAATGTAACAAACTTAAAAAATAACGAAATAGACTTCCAAATCAATCTTTTGGTTTTTTTCCTTGTGTGGCTCTACGATAGTACTACAAGTCATGCTAAAGGTACCTAATTAGTAGTTTTTTCAAAACTACCTAACTGGTTGTTCGGACCGATTTAACTAGTATTTAAAATCTGAAACTATGAGCCTTCTCTCGTCGATTTCTTTTAGAGAAACCGCTAGCATAACATGGTCTTTACAAACTGAAACAGGAAAGTAGACAAAGTAAAAGCTGCCATCTCCAGCACATCACCAGCATCAGCCAAGCTAAAAGGCTAGTTCATCTATCCTAGCCCATAATACAGAAGCTGGAAAGTATTAGGAAATGCCCCAGCAACATAAGCACCACATGAAGGTGGGGCATCAGATTGTTTCACCCAAATTGGGTACATAATATTATCAGACAAGCATCATGATCTAGCAAATCATCCTGCAATTCTTCTCCTCGCCATCCAGCCCTTAGTTCTTGCAGAAGCATCTTGCACCGACTGTTTCAACATCTCCACACTAGCATCAATGCTTCTTTATTCTTGGATTATCCGCAACATACCCTTGTAGTTAATGTTATGACATATATTATATATTTCCTCTACAAGATCAGCAGGGATTTTTTTTATCAAAGCAAGCTCTGTTTCTAGTTTTCTAGATAGTTCAACAAAATGTTGGTCCTCCACAGAGCACGAGTATTTGCTGGGATCTAGGAAAATATTGTATCCGATCACCAAATAGAGCAGATGTGTCTTCGGGACATCTATCTAAGCCGAGAGCATAAGCAACAATCTGCTAAGTTAGTCTGGTCATATTATAACCAAACAAAGAGGTGATCCATTGTATCTTTCTTGCAATAGAAGCGGCACTACTCATTACCAGCCCATCCTCTATGGACCAAGTTATATTTATCAGAATTTTACTCTTCAACATCACCCAAAGAAAGATCTTAATCTTCAGTCATATCTTTAATTTCAAAACGATCTTGTATTCACAAGTAACCCGACTTTGAGGTGCAAAACAAGTCTTTAACTTTGAAATCACCTTTTTTATTTAGTTACTACCTTTTCCCCAGGCAAGATAAAATTATCCTTAACATCTTTCAACTTATTCCACTGAGAAAAAGCCTCCCCTGTAGATTAATTCCCTCTGAAACTAGAGGAATCCAGGCCATCTTTCTGGGCTTCTTGCAATGTGATGTTCTTAGAGAAGGCTATATTGTAGAGCCTAAGGAACTATTAAACCGGGTCTACCTCAACACCAAACACCATCCCAAAAGAGTGTTTTTGCCCTATCACTAACAATCCTTTGAATACCCGGGGAGTCCCTGTCCACACCGCCCTCAGCCCTCCCCCTCCATCGCCTCCCACTACCACTGTCGTCGCTGAGGACGACGCGGGGCGAAGCCCCTGTGGTGAGGCGGCGGCAACGGCGCAGTCCTCGGCCGGTGGTAACACGTTGGGGCAGCGGCGTCCATCTCCCTCCTCCAACGGCAGTGCGCAGCGGGTTGGCGGCGGCCAGGAAATCTCCGGCGGTAGTTTGGCGGATGAGATTTTGGCTGCGATGAGATCTGATCTGGGCCCGAGGGGTTTAGATCGAGATCCACTACGGCTGCACCTCGTCTCGACAATGGCAAGAGGAGATCCCCGCTGGGTAATCTTCGCGGCACGAGGATCTTGGAGAACGTAGCAGAAATTCAAAATTTTCTACGCATCACCAAGATCAAGTTATGGAGATTCTAGCAACAAGAGAGGGAGAGGATGAGCATCTTCATACCCTTGAAGATCGCTAAGCGGAAGCGTTACAAGAATGCGGTTGATGGAGTCGTACTCGCGGCGATTCGAATCGCGGAAGATCCGATCTAGCGCCGAACGGACGGCGCCTCCGCGTTCAACACACGTACAGCCCGGGGACATCTCCTCCTTCTTGATCCAGCAAGGGGAGAGGAGAAGTTGAGGGAGAACTCCGACAGCAGGACGACATGGTGGTGGTGGAGCTCGTGGTTCTCCAGCAGGGCTTCGCCAAGCACTACGGAAGAGAAGGAGGTGTTGGAGGAGGGAGAGGGCTGCGCCAGGGAAGAGGTGCGGCTGCCCTCCCACCCCTCTACTATATATAGGGGAAAGGAGAGAGGGGGAGGCGCCCTAGGGTTTACCCTTGGGGGCGGCGGCCAAGCAGATTGGATCTCCCTAGGGAAAATCCTAGGGAGACTTGGCGCCCAAGCCAAGCAGGTGGAGGATTGCCTCCCAAGCCAGGTGGAGGCGCCACACCTCCCCAAATAATGTGGGAAAAGGTGTGGGGGGGCGCACCACCCCTTAGTGGGCTGGTTTTCCCCTTCCCCTTTGGCCCATGAAGCCCTCCAACACTTGCCGGGGCTCCCGAAACACCTTTCGGTCATGCTGGCCATAGCCTGGTACCCCCGGAATACTTCCGGACTCCAATACCCTTCGTCCAATATATCGATCTTCACCGCCGGACCATTTCGGAACTCCTCGTGACATCCGGGATCACATCCGGGACTCTGAACTACCTTCGTTAACCACATACTATTTCCCATAACAACTCTAGCGTCACCGAACCTTAAGTGTGTAGACCCTACGGGTTCGGGAACCATGCAGACATGACCGAGACGTTCTCCGGCCAATAACCAACAGCGGGATCTAGATACCCATGTTGGCTCCCACATGTTCCACGATGATCTCATCGAATGATCCATGATGTCGAGGATTCAATCAATCCCGTATGCAATTCCCTTTGTCAATCGATATGTTACTTGCCCGAGATTCGATCGTCGGTATCTCAATACCTCGTTCAATCTCGTTACCGGCAAGTCACTTTACTCGTTCCGTAATGCATGATCCCGTGACTAACTACTTAGTCACATTGAGATCATTATGATGATGCATTACCGAGTGGGCCCAGAGATACCTCTCCATCATAAGGAGTGACAAATCCCAGTCTCGATTCATGCCAACCCAACAGACACTTTCGGAGATACCTGTAGTGCACCTTTATAGCCACCCAGTTACGTTGTGACGTTTGGTACACCCAAAGCATTCCTACGGTATCCGGGAGTTGCACAATCTCATGGTCTAAGGAAATGATACTTGACATTAGAAAAGCTTTAGCAAACGAACTACACGATCTTGTGCTATGCTTAGGATTGGGTCTTGTCCATCACATCATTCTCCTAATGATGTGATCCCGTTATCAATGACATCCAATGTCCATGGTCAGGAGACCATAACCATATATTGATCAACGAGCTAGTCAACTAGAGGCTCACTAGGGACATGTTGTGGTATATGTATTCACACATGTATTACGGTTTCCAATTAATACAATTGTAGCATGAACAATAGACCATTATCATGAACAAGGAAATATAATAATAACCATTTTATTATTGCCTCTAGGGCATATTTCCAACAGAGGACGCCGGGCATGGTGGTGGTGGCTGCCTTCTCCACCGAAGGCGGTTGGCCAGGCTGGTAGTGATGGATCTTGGATCCCACTATTAGCACCGGCGGCGAGTTGGGGAGACATAGTCGTTGGTGAAATCCGAGCCGACTTCGGTCATGGCGGGCGACGGTGGCGTCGACGTCGTTACCTTGATGAAGGCATCGTCAAGCAACTATTGTCAACCTGCCCGTGCCGCTCCTGGAGAAATCCTAAGATCACCGGATCGGACGATGGCGACGCAGCCGTGTCGTGTTCCCTATTGGGGGCATCGTTTGTGGAGCGGCGCCAAATGGAAGAGGCGTGAGGTGGTGTGGTGTGCCTTCTCTCGCATCGACGATGGCGGGTCTCAACGGCATGGAGCAGCGGGGTCTCGCCGGTGGGCATGTGAGGATGGACGAGAGCAGGATGGTCACGTTGTCTGGCGTCGTAGTGGTGTCGACGGCAGCTAGACCGGGCAAGGTAGATGCAGCAGTACAGCACTGAAGATGGATTGGTGGCAGGTGGCTGGGGCGGCCTCATACCCGGCAGCCATCCTGGTTGAGGAGTGCCCCGTACTGGTGGGTGCCGCATACCCGACAGGCGTCCTGGTTGGGACCTCGGGTCTTACATGTTAGATTTGGCTGTGAGGTTTGTTTGGTATTAGGCCCAGACTATCAGCATCTCTACATCAACTGGATAGGAGTAGCGACATATGTCGCCTTGACGGTGGTTTTAGTCTTACTGTTGTATGACTTTGTAAGGTCTTGTCTGAATAATTAATAAAATGGCTGCATGCATTGTCCGGATGCAAAGCCCGGAGGTCCTCCTGCTTTTCTAAAAAACAATCCTTTGAATACGTGTTTTTGGAGTATTTCACTAAAATGAGCCATGCCCTGCAAGAAATGTAATCCTCCTATACCAGTCGTGACCTCAAACACTCAAGTATTTCTTTTATATCATCTGCTGCCATAAGCCTTCAGAATTCTCCTATTTCCATGACCACTTGCATAGTAAGCTATTGTTCATCACACTGAGAGTCAGAATCCCTAGTCCCCCAAAGTCTGTATGCCAATTGACCAAGTGTTACTTCTCCTCATATTGCTTCTCTTGCCACATCATCCTAGCCCAAAACATGTTCGCGATTTAACTAGTATATAATTTATAATAGATCTAACAGAAATACTAATCGACAATTGGTAAAGATCTATTTGTAGTATTA